TGTGGGAGTTCACATTGGTGACGTTCTTGTAACAGTGACGCAAGCAAATCTGGTCATTGAGTTTTTTTGGCAATTAAAAGAAAATTGTATTTTAGCTCCTAAGTGGTGTGCGCAAGTTTCTGGGAATGCGCATCACTAACTAACAACAGTGAAAGGGCATTGATCAGGATGTGAGTATTCGTGGGATGCTACGTGACAACATTTTGGAATAGGCACGTGGAACTCGTATTCCGATCGGTGAGGAACTATGCAGCAGACGAGAGGAGAGTGCAGAATTAGTTAAAAAGGATGGAGGTGATGCAGCTACCATCAATAAATTTAACCTCTAATTAGCGGTTTGCTCTATTTATCAAGATGCATCAGGCCGGACATATCATACGCAGCTCATAGAGTCTCCAGGCGTACTCATTCACCGACTGTGGGTTATTTCACGTTAGCTGACAGAGTTTTTAAGATATTTGAGAGGCACAAAGACAATGCGACTGATTGTAAATCAAGAAAGAAATCCCAGGATGTGTTGGGAATCAAATCTTTGGTTACAGCGATGCTGATTTTGCTGCGGACCGAACTGATAGAAAGTCAGTAACTGGTCGCTGCATTACGGTAGAAGGAATGCCAGGTCATGGATGGCGAAAAAGCAAGGTGGGTTGTTATAATCCACCATGGAAGCATAGTTTACAGCAGTATTTGTTGTGGTCGTGCAAATGCTTACAATACGTGAACAACTTCATGAGATCAGGTAATGTGCAAAGAACTCATGATAAGTACGTAGACAATCAGGCGTCATTAAAGCAGCTCGGAGGCAATATGTAACGGGGTGAACCGTTACATAACAATTTATAAGGAATTATTAATAGATTAGAACTATAAGAGTTATATTCTCAGAATATTGTCATATAGACAAATATTCTGTAGCACTTACAAGTAGTTCCTAATTGGTTGATATAGGCCATTATATCAACCAACGAAGACGCGCCACGACAGACGCACGCAATGAGTGGTGAGCAGATAGTTGATTTACACATTAGTATTTAGACATAGTTAGATGAGGATAAATAGTGATTTATTGCAGACATTAACTATTATAAATACAGTTCTACTTTTTACTTTAACCAGGCACTCGCTTTTACTTAACGTATTCCTCTGCACGTACCAGTGTACGTGAAGTTACGAGGCACCGCCTTATTATGTCGTCCGAATAAGTAGCTTGTACTGTCACCAGTACAAGCTTCAGGGTGCCCCGTTACACCTGGTAGCACTTCGTAGTCCGTCCAAGGAGCGCGTTCACATCCAACATGAATATTTTGGATGATGAAGATGACCAAAGCTTTCACGCTACGCGTGACGGCTACTCCCATTTGAGCGATGTCGAATGGGATGCGGTTGAACGAATGGGTTCGACCATGGGCATCCATGCTGTTAGCGTCATGCTAGAGGCTCTCAATAGAGGTGCCCAACATGCTACTATCGCCAAGTTCATTCAAAATGAACTTGACGCCGAACGCGAAAAAGTAGCCTTGCATTACCAACAAGGTTCTCAACAAGCAGAGTTGTTGAGAGAACAGGGTGCTCAACAGTTTGAACTGTTGAGACAGCAGCAGGCTGCTGCTGGTGGGTCGATGCACTCGCGTCGACCCGAGACCTTAAAGATTGACATCTCCAAGTATAGGGGAGTCGAAGAGGACTCCCTCTTTAGATGGTTCGTCGAATTGGACGACGCCATAAGGTTGCGTCACATCGACGACGTGGATATTCAAGGTGCATTTGCCCAGTCAAATCTGGCAGGACGTGCCAAGACTTGGGTACTGGGGCTCAAGTGGCACGACCCGTATGCGTTTGGGTCGTTAGTAGTCTTCAAGTCGCGGCTCAGACAAACGTTTGAACCGCCTAGAGCTGAGTTCAGAGCTCTAACCGAACTCTTGAAGCTCAAACAGGGTAAGCGTGATGTGCACGCTTACGCACAACATATACGACACCTCACGAGTTGTATAAGTTCCAATCCGGTGGATGAACACACGTTGGTTTCGGTGTTCATGCAGGGTCTTGCGGATGGTCCCGTCAAGACTCACCTGTTCCGGCTTGAACTAGATTCACTAGAACAAGCCATTTCCATTGCGGAACAGGAAGACTTCAGTCTGAGACAGGCTCGCGCCATCTCGACATCATATCGTACGCATAGAAGATATGACAGCGAAGGTCCAGAGCCGATGGAACTCTGTTATGTAGAGAGAGAGAAGGCTCGCTCTACGAACTATAAGAAGTTGCAAGAATGCAACAGATGTCAAAAGACAGGACACTACGCTTACATGTGTAGTGCCCCTCGTCCATTGTCTCGCAACACTGGGCGTATTGACCGTCCAAGCATGAGAAAGGGGCAGTGTAACGGGGTGAATCGTTACATAACAATTTATAAGAAATCGTTAATAGAATATAACTATAAGAGTTATATTCTCAGAATATTGTCATAAGGATAAATATTCTGCAGCACTTACGAGTAGTTCCTAATTGGTTGATATAAGCCATTACATTAAAACAACGAAGACGCGCCACGACAGACGCACGCAATGAGTGGTGAGCAGATAGTTGATTTACAAATTAGTATTTAAACATGGTTAGATGAGGATAAATAGTGATTTATTGCAGACATTAACTATGATAAATACAGTTCTACTTTTTACTTTAACCAAGTACTCGCTTTTCCTTACCGTCTTCCTCTGCACGTACGAGTGTACGTGGAGTTACGTGATACGGGGTTGCACGAAATTATGGTACTTTGTACTAGAGGTGTTACACACCTGAGTTTACCCATTTGTGAAGGTGACATAGAATATCGTATTGGTTTGTAGGGGCTGACGAGTGTCAGCTATTAGGTACGAAAGATCTTTGAGTAGGATTAAGATATTCTATAGGCTTCAACAAAAATAAAATCAGTTCCCATTTTGATCTGAAGGACACGTGGCTTGCGAGCCGTCTTGATCGTTGATCACTGATCACTAAGAGCTAGCGACACCTCCTTGAGGTAGCTACTCTTGAGCACTGAGTGCAGTCGATTCACTGAATCGTTAGGTCCCACTGGAACAGGGATCTGAAGCTGTAAAGCTTGTTGACTCGTAAAGTCGTTAGTTCTTTGGAACTAAGTTGCTCGTAGAGCGTTAAGTCTTCCTCTGACTTAAGGAGCTGTGTAGCTCCGCTACACTTGGTAGCACTTGTAGTCAATCTGCGCCTGAGTCTTTAAGACTGATCCTCTGTGAGGATGGATAACTCCACTCCCCTATCTGAGGCCCAAAAGGTCGCGCTGGATAAGCTGACCACATCTTTGGGTCCAGAGTACGTGGAGTTCCTTGTTTCACAAGGTCCTGAAGTGCTTAATGCACGTGTTGAAAGCTTCATGCAGCATGAAGCGACCCTTTTAGGGCAGGTCCAAGACCAAATAGCGTCAGCTATGCCTACACGCTACGTGTCTGTACCAGACGAAGAGGCTAAGCCTCGTCCACTTAGAGTGGAAGTAAAAAACTACTCCGGTAAGGAGGGTGAGAACCTCATCCTCTGGATCCGTGAGATCGAGATGGCCATGAGATCAGGTCTGATCACGCTTGACCATCAACAGGTCTCGCTGGCTATCTCGAAGCTCGATGGTAGAGCTATAGAATGGGCCTTGAAGTGTAGCACGTCGGTGGACATAGCGTTTCCCACATGGGAGTCGCTCAAGTCACAATTGGTACAGGTGTTTTCTCCACCTAACCAGGCTTACCGCGTGCGTTCACGCTTTCTTTCTACCCGCCAGGGTAAGAATGAATTATCGGACTATGTCCAAGAGCTGCAAACGCTCATGGCTGCAATGCAGTCTGACTCTCTGCCTGAAGCAGTCCATGTGACTATCTTCATGGAAGGTCTACGTACCGGCATTGCCAGAACCGAGGTTTTTCGGGTTCACCCCTCTACGTTTGAAGAGGCTGTGAGAATTGCTCTAAGGCTGAGCATAACTTCAAGTCGGCCAGACTTGGTTAGAATGGATACAATCCTCGCTCTGTGAGAGCAAACTATTCGGGTACCACTGCCTATAATAGGCCGGAACCGATGGATCTCAGCTATGCTGAAGATGGAGGTGAAGCTGAGCTTCAAGCTGCTGAGCAGCAACACGTCGTACGACGATGTTTTACGTGAGGAAGCACTAAACACTTGCGGCCTGGTTGCCCTTTGCGTAAGCAACGCCAGGCTACGAGCCAACACTCGACCCCGAGTCAGAAGTCTGGCATGGCACGGGGAAATGCCGATACCCAGTAGGCGCGGGGCGCCGTACTGGGGAAGAACTATGTTCCGTTACACCTTTAGAAGGTAAAGGAATGCAAGGCTTAGCCCCAAAGAGTACCATACCTACAGGTATGGTGCGTGGATACAAGTCTGGCTTGTTGGTCGCCGAGGCGAAAATTAAGGGCTTTGAGAAGCCTTGGTCGATATTGATCGATTCTGGAGCGTCTTGCAATTATGCTCGACGCCGTTCCCTTGAGGGAAGTCAGCGTTATGCTGAGGCGCTTACATCGCATGAGGGTGATTCTATCACGGTTCGTTTAGCGACTGGAAGTCGCGTAACTGTGCCTAAAGTTCCATTGAACTTAGATATAAAGTTTTTAGACTTTGACAGTATTGAGCGCTGTCTTGTCCTAGATTTGGACTCAAGATGTGATCTCATCCTAGGTATGGCTTGGCTTGAGCGCCATGAGCCATGGATTGATTGGAGGTCTAAGACCTTAGGCGCTACGCGCAATGTTCCTAGCGAAGCTTTGGAGAGTCATGAATCCACCTTCGCTAGACAACAGAAGCGCTGTTGGCGCGAGCCTTTGACAGAAGATGTCAATGTGCTGGATATTGGAATGTCTGAGTTATCTAACTCCAATGTTACAAACATAAGTCTCGAGCCTAGCTCGTCTAAAACTAGTGAAACGGCACGTACTCCGTTGAGTGGTACTCGTTGTGATAACGAGTCACTGCATGCTGAAAGCATGGTTTGCCTAGGGCCGAGTGATCAAGGATGTGATTCCTTTGATGTGTGTATGGTGGCACGTGAAACTACACCGAGTGCGGTCGGCCGTGAGAGCACCGCACTGAATGTCGGTAATGACATTTTTGGCCATATGCCATTTAGTGTGGGCGGCCGTGAAGGCACCACGCTTAACGTCGGTAATGGCGTTGTTGGCGATTCGCCATATAGTGTGGGCGGCCGTGAGGGCACCACACCTAATGTCAATAATGATATTGTTGGCGATACGCCGTATAGTGTGGACGGCCGTGAGGGCACCACGCTTAACGCCGGTAATGGCGCTGTTGGCGATACGCCGTATAGTGTGGGCGGCCGTGAGGGCACCACACCTAATGTCAGTAATGATACTGTTGGCGATACGCCGTATAGTGTGGACGGCCGTGAGGGCACCACACCTAATGTCGGTAATGACCTTATTGGCGAGACGCCGTTATATTCAGGGCTAGACCCGCATAATACACGTGGAGTGGCACGTTTCTATCCACTGGGTGAAGTGTTCGAGTTATGTAACACTTCACCGAATGTCGGTCAAGACAAAAGCTCTCGTATAGAGCGTACTATGGTTGGTAGTAACCATGGGGATAATATTGTCCCGACCCCTAAGGGGTGTAAGGTCTCGAAGAGACGATCGAGACGCCGGGTAGCTACTTTTAAGCGCCAGGCGTCCTCACAGTCACATAGTGATAATAGTGATACACTATATACACTTGTTAATGGAGTGACTGGTCAGGTTGATGGCAGTGTTTGCCTTGAAACCCTTCCATCTTTTGACGCTCTTTGTGAGCTAGACAAAATGTCTGATGGCGAGTTTAGCCAGGCCTTGAAGGCAGGAGAGTTATCCGAGTTAGCGGTCATTAGACCTGATACTGAGTTGAATTCTTCCTCGTTAATGGATGAGTCTGTCCTAGAGGATACAAAGGCGGCACTTAGTGCACGAAGTGGATCTTCGATCCTTAAAGATCCTTTGGATCCGTTCTATCCTTTAGTTAAGGAATTTCAAGATGTGGTGTGTCACAACCCACCTTCTGCCTTACCTCCCGATAGAGGTGTACGTCATGAGATTGACTTAGTTCCTGGAACTAAATACTGTGTAACACGGCAGTGGCCTTTGCCTAAAGAACAGTGTGACGTCATTGACGAATTCTTTCGTGCTAAGCACGCGGCTGGAATGGTTCGTGAGAGCAAGTCTCCCCATTCAACACCGACATTTTGTGTCAAAAAGCCAAATGGCAAGTGGCGTATTGTGCATGCTTATAATAAGCTTAATGCAGCCACTATACCGGCGCAGACGCCTATTCCTAGAAAGGATGTGCTTCAGAACAATATGGCAGGATGTACATTGTACAGTGCACTCGACTTAGTCGATGGTTACTACCAACTGCTTATGCGAGCAAGCGATATTCCGCTAACAGCGGTGAGTACTCCGAGCGGTATGCTCTGGGGGTGGCTTGTTATGCCACAAGGGCTATCTAACGACCCGGCTACGTTTAACCGGCTGGTACCGCAACTATTCAGACCTCATCGAGGCTATGCACAAACGTATTTTAATGACATTTTTGTCCATAGTCGTGCAATGAATGGGCTATCAGATGTGAATAACCACATTGATCATTTACGAGCTGTGCTCGAGTGTATGCGAACGAATAAGTTGTATTCTAACGCATCGAAGTGCATCTTTGGTGCAGAAGAGATTCCCTTTCTAGGGTGCTTCATTGGGAAGAGAGGCCTTCGAGCGGATCCCGCTAAGGTGAAAGCCATAGTCGATTGGCCGGTTCCCAAGAACCAAAAGGACCTGCGTAAGTGGCTTGGCCTTGCCAATTACTTACATAAGTACAGTGCAAATTACGCAGATATGGCTCGACCATTGTCCAATCTCCTTAAAAGGATGTGGGTTGGTGTTGGGGTAACACCGAACATAATGCTTTTGAAGCAGTTAAGGAGAGTCTCCTTCATGCGCCAATATTGGCTTTGCCCGATTCTGTTCGGCCTTTCAGTGTCGTCTGTGATGCATCTGACTTTGCCATAGGCAGTGCTCTGTTACAAACAGATGTCGACGGACGCGAACGCGTCATCGCATTTGAGTCTCGGCAGCTGAAAGCTGCTGAAAAGAACTATCCTGTTCATGACAAAGAGCTACTTGCTATGAAGTACGCTCTTGTCAAATTCAGTGTCCATCTGCTTGGCTCTAAGCCGTTTGTGATCATACAGATCATGCGTCATTACGCACTGCGACACAGTCGCCTCATCCCTCACATAGAATGGCTCGTTGGCTTTCCTTCTTTGCCGAATATAACTTCGAGGTGAAGTACAAGCCAGGTAAGCAAAACGCTTTGGCTGATGCGCTATCGCGTCGACCTGACTATGAGCTTGCTCATGTTACGACTCTGTCGTCGCCAGTCCCTGACTTAATTCGTGCGGCATATTCCAAGGACGATCAGTGTGTAGTTTTGCTACGTGCTCTTGGGAGCGATGAGTTTAAAGACTCGGACATAGAATTGTCGGCACGTTTACGTGCGAGGCTACATCGATATTCCATCGATAATGGCCTGTTGTGCTATCGCACAGATATCGAAGATAAGCCTCGTATCGCTGTACCTCATGATGAGGAATTAAAGTATCGAATCCTCTATGAGGCACATGATACTGCTTTAAGTGGTCATCTCGGTCGTGAGAAGACTTATAGCTCGGTGAGCCAAAGTTATTGGTGGCCCAAACTTTATAAGTGGGTGCGCACCTATGTGCGTACGTGCGAAACGCGTCAACGGGTAAAACCCTCGGCACATGCGGCGGCGCCTCTGGCTAGTTTGCCTGTACCCACTGGTTGTTGGGAGTCCATGAGCATGGATTTTGTGTTTGGCCTACCGAAAGATTCGGAAGGCAACACTGGTATTGTGGTCTTTGTTGACCGATTTAGCAAGATGGCTCACTTAGCGGCTGTGCCGGATAGCATCGATGCTGAAGGTGCAGCAAAGCTGTTTATCGACCGTGTGTTTCGCCAACATGGCTTGCCGGTGGCAATTATCTCTGATAGAGACCCCCGCTTCACTGGGAAGTTTTGGAAGTCTATCTTCAAGGTGCTTGGCACTCGGTTGGACATGTCCACAGCGGGTCATCCGCAGACCGACGGTCAAACTGAGCGTGTAAACCGCGTCATCAACGACATTTTGCGCAGTATTTGCGCCGATACGCTTAGGCGTTGGAGCTCAATGCTCCCTGTTGTTGAGTTTGCGTTGAATAACGCTGTTCATGCCTCAACAGGCTTTACTCCGTTCTATATAAACGTCCTCACTCACCCTCGCGTTCCGTTAACGCTATCACTACGTGAATCAGGGCTTGGTGGGGGAGAGGTTGCCGATCGGCTTGCTGATATCAGCCCTGATACTGTTCAAAAACAGGTAAGCGAGTTTCTCGCAACGCGATTGAATGTCTTAAGACATGTGCGTGACGCAATGGCTGATAGCCAAGATACCCAAAAACAACAAGCTGATGCCAAAGGCAGAAATCGTATTGAACCTTATGAGGTCGGAGACCAAGTACTACTCAATGCTAAAAATCTACCTACAAACGTAGTGTCTGCTGTCTTTACGACAAAGTTGCGTCCACGCTTTATTGGACCTTTTAAGGTCACGGCCAGAAAGGGACTTGCGTATACGCTAAACCTCCCGCGCAAATTGCGCACACATCCAGTGTTCTACGTAGGCTTACTTAAGCCGTACCAGGATCCTTCCCATGTGAACTTGGAGGCGCTTGCGCCGACGACAAGGGCACTGCCCCGGATTGCTGTAGCAAGTCCAACAGAGCCTCGCTCCGAGTTTGATCACGCTCCATCGCCTGAAGGCGGCTTTGCATCGCATCCAGCATGCACTGGGGCTTACCCAAGGCCTCTTGAAAACCCTTCACTTCGTGAACCAATTTCTCGTGGGCCTCCTCTCCACCGGTACACCGGCCGCCACCGACTTTGCTCGATGAGCATGGGTGTCGTCAATTTCATGTCGATAGACTACTGAAACGACGTCGTCGTCAGGGCCAATACCAGTATCTGGTAAAGAGGCGTGGGTACCCTGAGTCTGAAAACTCATGGGAATTTGAGGTACCCCTTCGGCAAGACTGCCCATATGCTTTGGAGGCTTTTGAGCATCGTGGCCATGGTCATCTCGAGGCCGAGTCCGTTACCCACCACTAGTGGTGCGGGTTGGCGGGTTGTTGGCCACAGACTGATCAGCACTCGCGGCTACCTTAGTAGCCGAAGCATAGCGCGTGCGCTTGCGCAATTGGCCTCTGGCCTTAAGCTTGGCATAATCATACCGAAGCTTGCGTTCGAGACGCACATCCGCCGCATGGGCACTAGCCCTTAGAGCAAAAATGTTGCTGAGGTGACGCACATAGTGCACCCAGTGAACAAAGGCATCGTCTTCTTTGCTCACTGTTTTGCCTGCGAGCAGAAGAATGGGTATACCCTTGATCGGTGGAACCGGTGCACCACGTGCTTGCATGTCAAGGCGTGCCTTGTATTGACTTTGAGTCGTTAGGTGCGGCTCCAGGTACCTCTCACGAAGTCCCTGGCAGCTCACCACCTTCTCAGGAGTCTTAGGCCCATGGCCAATGACCCACGTTGCCAATGTTTGGCCGGCCGCTTGACGTAGACGTTCCTCCACACTGGGTGGGGTGAACACATAGTCACGCTGGCGTTCAAGGGTTGCAGCCATTTGTACATAACGCTGAGCGTTTTCTTCTCTTTGAACAAGCAGTTGTTGTTGCTCATCGAGCGGGTTCGTGATGATAGTCTCATCAGACCCAGATGCTGCATGCTGCGCTAGTGGCGCGCTCGCACCTCCACGTTAAGCGAACGGATTTGGGGTGTTCGAAAGTGGTGCCTCAGGCATCAGTGAGCCGGACATTGTCCCTGTATCACCGCGGACACTGGTATCGCTACCATAGTCCACCTCATCCTCTATCCCGAGGTAGTCACACAGAGCCTTTGACTCGTTTGGTGATGAGGACATCGTGCTGGAGCGTACGTTACCGTGAGGTTCACCGTACGCGCACTGTTCTCGCTGAGAACACAAGTTCGATTGATGTTTTGGCAAACGTCGGTCTGGTGGGGGAGGGTGTAACGGGGTTGCACGAAATTATGGTACTTTGTACCAGAGGTGTTACACACCTGAGGTTACCCCTTTGTGAAGGTAATATAGAATATCTTATTGGTTTGTAGGGGCTAAAGAGTGTCAGCCATTAGGTACGAAAGATCTTTGAGTAGGATTAAGATATTCTATAGGCTTCAACAAAAATAAAATCAGTTCCCATTTTGATCTGAAGGACACGTGGCTTGCGAGCCGTCTTGATCGTTGATCACTGATCACTAAGAGCTAGCGACACCTCCTTGAGGTAGCTACTCTTGAGCACTGAGTGCAGTCGATTCACTGAATCGTTAGGTCCCCCTGGAACAAGGATCTGAAGCTGTAAAGCTTGTTGACTCGTAAAGTCGTTAGTTCTTTGGAACTAAGTTGCTCATAGAGCGTTAAGTCTTCCTCTGACTTAAGGAGCTGTGTAGCTCCGCTACATTACGAGGCAGCGCCTTATTCTGTCATCAGAATAAGTAGCCTGTACTGTCACCAGTACAAGATTCAGGGTGCCCCGTTACACCTGGCAGCACTTCGTAGTCTGTCCAAGAACGACGTTCACATCTAACATGAATATGTTGGATGATGAAGATTGTAGCGGAGCTACACAGCTCCTTAAGTCAGAGGAAGACTTAACGCTCTATGAGCAACTTAGTTCCAAAGAACTAACGACTTTACGAGTCAACAAGCTTTACAGCTTCAGATCCTTGTTCCAGGGGGACCTAACGATTCAGTGAATCGACTGCACTCAGTGCTCAAGAGTAGCTACCTCAAGGAGGTGTCGCTAGCTCTTAGTGATCAGTGATCAACGATCAAGACGGCTCGCAAGCCACGTGTCCTTCAGATCAAAATGGGAACTGATTTTATTTTTGTTGAAGCCTATAGAATATCTTAATCCTACTCAAAGATCTTTCGTACCTAATGGCTGACACTCGTCAGCCCCTACAAACCAATAAGATATTCTATATTACCTTCACAAAGGGGTAACCTCAGGTGTGTAACACCTCTGGTACAAAGTACCATAATTTCGTGCAACCCCGTTACACCCTCCCCCACCAGACCGACGTTTGCCAAAACATCAATCGAACTTGTGTTCTCAGCGAGAACAGTGCGCGTACGGTGAACCTCACGGTAACGTACGCTCCAGCACGATGTCCTCATCACCAAACGAGTCAAAGGCTCTGTGTGACTACCTCGGGATAGAGGATGAGGTGGACTATGGTAGCGATACCAGTGTCCGCGGTGATACAGGGACAATGTCCGGCTCACTGATGCCTGAGGCACCACTTTCGAACACCCCAAATCCGTTCGCTTAACGTGGAGGTGCGAGCGCGCCACTAGCGCAGCATGCAGCATCTGGGTCTGATGAGACTATCATCACGAACCCGCTCGATGAGCAACAACAACTGCTTGTTCAAAGAGAAGAAAACGCTCAGCGTTATGTACAAATGGCTGCAACCCTTGAACGCCAGCGTGACTATGTGTTCACCCCACCCAGTGTGGAGGAACGTCTACGTCAAGCGGCCGGCCAAACATTGGCAACGTGGGTCATTGGCCATGGGCCTAAGACTCCTGAGAAGGTGGTGAGCTGCCAGGGACTTCGTGAGAGGTACCTGGAGCCGCACCTAACGACTCAAAGTCAATACAAGGCACGCCTTGACATGCAAGCACGTGGTGCACCGGTTCCACCGATCAAGGGTATACCCATTCTTCTGCTCGCAGGCAAAACAGTGAGCAAAGAAGACGATGCCTTTGTTCACTGGGTGCACTATGTGCGTCACCTCAGCAACATTTTTGCTCTAAGGGCTAGTGCCCATGCGGCGGATGTGCGTCTCGAACGCAAGCTTCGGTATGATTATGCCAAGCTTAAGGCCAGAGGCCAATTGCGCAAGCGCACGCGCTATGCTTCGGCTACTAAGGTAGCCGCGAGTGCTGATCAGTCTGTGGCCAACAACCCGCCAACCCGCACCACTAGTGGTGGGTAACGGACTCGGCCTCGAGATGACCATGGCCACGATGCTCAAAAGCCTCCAAAGCATATGGGCAGTCTTGCCGAAGGGGTACCTCAAATTCCCATGAGTTTTCAGACTCAGGGTACCCACGCCTCTTTACCAGATACTGGTATTGGCCCTGACGACGACGTCGTTTCAGTAGTCTATCGACATGAAATTGACGACACCCATGCTCATCGAGCAAAGTCGGTGGCGGCCGGTGTACCGGTGGAGAGGAGGCCCACGAGAAATTGGTTCTCGAAGTGAAGGGTCTTCAAGAGGCCTTGGGTAAGCCCCAGTGCATGCTGGATGCGATGCAAAGCCGCCTTCAGGCGATGGAGCGTGATCAAACTCGGAGCGAGGCTCTGTTGGACTTGCTACAGCAATCCGGGGCAGTGCCCTTGTCGTCGGCGCAAGCGCCTCCAAGTTCACATGGGAAGGATCCTGGTACGGCTTAAGTAAGCCTACGTAGAACACTGGATGTGTGCGCAATTTGCGCGGGAGGTTTAGCGTATACGCAAGTCCCTTCTTGGCCGTGACCGTAAACGGTCCAATAAAGCGTGGACGCAACTTTGTCGTAAAGACAGCAGACACTGCGTTTGTAGGTAGATTTTTAGCATTGAGTAGTACTTGGTCTCCGACCTCATAAGGTTCAATACGATTTCTGCCTTTGGCATCAGCTTGTTGTTTTTGGGTATCTTGGCTATCAGCCATTGCGTCACGCACATGTCTTAAGACATTCAATCGCGTTGCGAGAAACTCGCTTACCTGTTTTTGAACAGTATCAGGGCTGATATCAGCAAGCCGATCGGCAACCTCTCCCCCACCAAGCCCTGATTCACATAGTGATAGCGTTAACGGAACGCGAGGGTGAGTGAGGACGTTTATATAGAACGGAGTAAAGCCTGTTGAGGCATGAACAGCGTTATTCAACGCAAACTCAACAACAGGGAGCATTGAGCTCCAACGCCTAGGCGTATCAGCGCAAATACTGCGCAAAATGTCGTTGATGACGCGGTTTACACGCTCAGTTTGACCGTCGGTCTGCGGATGACCCGCTGTGGACATGTCCAACCGAGTGCCAAGCACCTTGAAGATAGACTTCCAAAACTTCCCAGTGAAGCGGGGGTCTCTATCAGAGATAATTGCCACCGGCAAGCCATGTTGGCGAAACACACGGTCGATAAACAGCTTTGCTGCACCTTCAGCATCGATGCTATCCGGCACAGCCGCTAAGTGAGCCATCTTGCTAAATCGGTCAACAAAGACCACAATACCAGTGTTGCCTTCCGAATCTTTCGGTAGGCCAAACACAAAATCCATGCTCATGGACTCCCAACAACCAGTGGGTACAGGCAAACTAGCCAGAGGCGCCGCCGCATGTGCCGAGGGTTTTACCCGTTGACGCGTTTCGCACGTACGCACATAGGTGCGCACCCACTTATAAAGTTTGGGCCACCAATAACTTTGGCTCACCGAGCTATAAGTCTTCTCACGACCGAGATGACCACTTAAAGCAGTATCATGTGCCTCATAGAGGATTCGATACTTTAATTCCTCATCATGAGGTACAGCGATACGAGGCTTATCTTCGATATCTGTGCGATAGCACAACAGGCCATTATCGATGGAATATCGATGTAGCCTCGCACGTAAACGTGCCGACAATTCTATGTCCGAGTCTTTAAACTCATCGCTCCCAAGAGCACGTAGCAAAGCTACACACTGATCGTCCTTGGAATATGCCGCACGAATTAAGTCAGGGACTGGCGACGACAGAGTCGTAACATGAGCAAGCTCATAGTCAGGTCGACGCGATAGCGCATCAGCCAAAGCGTTTTGCTTACCTGGCTTGTACTTCACCTCGAAGTTATATTCGGCAAAGAAGGAAAGCCAACGAGCCATTCTCTGTGAGGGATGAGGCGACTGTGTCGCAGTGCGTAATGACGCATGATCTGTATGATCACAAACGGCTTAGAGCCAAGCAGATGGACACTGAATTTGACAAGAGCGTACTTCATAGCAAGTAGCTCTTTGTCATGAACAGGATAGTTCTTTTCAGCAGCTTTCAGCTGCCGAGACTCAAATGCGATGACGCGTTCGCGTCCGTCGACATCTGTTTGTAACAGAGCACTGCCTATGGCAAAGTCAGATGCATCACAGACGACACTGAAAGGCCGAACAGAATCGGGCAAAGCCAATATTGGCTCATGAAGGAGACTCTCCTTAACTGCTTCAAAAGCATTATGTTCGGTGTTACCCCAACACCAACCCACATCCTTTTTAAGGAGATTGGACAATGGTCGAGCCATATCTGCGTAATTTGCACTGTACTTATGTAAGTAATTGGCAAGGCCAAGCCACTTACGCAGGTCCTTTTGGTTCTTGGGAACCGGCCAATCGACTATGGCTTTCACCTTAGCGGGATCCGCTCGAAGGCCTCTCTTCCCAATGAAGCACCCTAGAAAGGGAATCTCTTCTGCACCAAAGATGCACTTCGATGCGTTAGAATACAACTTATTCGTTCGCATACACTCGAGCACAGCTCGTAAATGATCAATGTGGTTATTCACATCTGATAGCCCATTCATTGCACGACTATGGACAAAAATGTCATTAAAGTACGTTTGTGCATAGCCTCGATGAGGTCTGAATAGTTGCGGTACCAGCCGGTTAAACGTAGCCGGGTCGTTAGATAGCCCTTGTGGCATAACAAGCCACCCCCAGAGCATACCGCTCGGAGTACTCACCGCTGTTAGCGGAATATCGCTTGCTCGCATAAGCAGTTGGTAGTAACCATCGACTAAGTCGAGTGCACTGTACAATGTACATCCTGCCATATTGTTCTGAAGCACATCCTTTCTAGGAATAGGCGTCTGCGCCGGTATAGTGGCTGCATTAAGCTTATTATAAGCATGCACAATACGCCACTTGCCATTTGGCTTTTTGACACAAAATGTCGGTGTTGAATGGGGAGACTTGCTCTCACGAACCATTCCAGCCGCGTGCTTAGCACGAAAGAATTCGTCAATGACGTCACACTGTTCTTTAGGCAAAGGCCACTGCCGTGTTACACAGTATTTAGTTCCAGGAACTAAGTCAATCTCATGACGTACACCTCTATCGGGAGGTAAGGCAGAAGGTGGGTTGTGACACACCACATCTTGAAATTCCTTAACTAAAGGATAGAACGGATCCAAAGGATCTTTAAGGATCGAATATCCACTTCGTGCACTAAGTGCCGCCTTTGTATCCTCTAGGACAGACTCATCCATTAACGAGGAAGAATTCAACTCAGTATCAGGTCTAATGACCGCTAACTCGGATAACTCTCCTGCCTTCAAGGCCTGGCTAAACTCGCCATCAGACATTTTGTCTAGCTCACAAAGAGCGTCAAAAGATGGAAGGGTTTCAAGGCAAACACTGCCATCAACCTGACCAGTCACTCCATTAACAAGTGTATATAGTGTATCACTATTATCACTATGTGACTGTGAGGACGCCTGGCGCTTAAAAGTAGCTACCCGGCGTCTCGATCGTCTCTTCGAGACCTTACACCCCTTAGGGGTCGGGACAATATTATCCCCATGGTTACTACCAACCATAGTACGCTCTATACGAGAGCTTTTGTCTTGACCGACATTCGGTGAAGTGTTACATAACTCGAACACTTCACCCAGTGGATAGAAACGTGCCACTCCACGTGTATTATGCGGGTCTAGCCCTGAATATAACGGCGTCTCGCCAATAAGGTCATTACCGACATTAGGTGTGGTGCCCTCACGGCCGTCCACACTATACGGCGTATCGCCAACAGTATCATTACTGACATTAGGTGTGGTGCCCTCACGGCCGCCCACACTATACGGCGTATCGCCAACAGCGCCATTACCGGCGTTAAGCGTGGTGCCCTCACGGCCGTCCACACTATACGGCGTATCGCCAACAATATCATTATTGACATTAGGTGTGGTGCCCTCACGGCCGCCCACACTATATGGCGAATCGCCAACAACGCCATTACCGACGTTAAGCGTGGTGCCTTCACGGCCGCCCACACTAAATGGCATATGGCCAAAAATGTCATTACCGACATTCAGTGCGGTGCTCTCACGGCCGACCGCACTCGGTGTAGTTTCACGTGCCACCATACACACATCAAAGGAATCACATCCTTGATCACTCGGCCCTAGGCAAACCATGCTTTCAGCATGCAGTGACTCGTTATCACAACGAGTACCACTCAACGGAGTACGTGCCGTTTCACTAGTTTTAGACGAGCTAGGCTCGAGACTTATGTTTGTAACATTGGAGTTAGATAACTCAGACATTCCAATATCCAGCACATTGACATCTTCTGTCAAAGGCTCGCGCCAACAGCGCTTCTGTTGTCTAGCGAAGGTGGATTCATGACTCTCCAAAGCTTCGCTAGGAACATTGCGCGTAGCGCCTAAGGTCTTAGACCTCCAATCAATCCATGGCTCATGGCGCTCAAGCCAAGCCATACCTAGGATGAGATCACATCTTGAGTCCAAATCTAGGACAAGACAGCGCTCAATACTGTCAAAGTCCTAAAAACTTTATATCTAAGTTCAATGGAACTTTAGGCACAGTTACGCGACTTCCAGTCGCTAAACGAACCGTGATAGAATCACCCTCATGCGATGTAAGCGCCTCAGCATAACGCTGACTTCCCTCAAGGGAACGGCGTCGAGCATAATTGCAAGACGCTCCAGAATCGATCAATATCGACCAAGGCTTCTCAAAGCCCTTAATTTTCGCCTCGGCGACCAACAAGCCAGACTTGTATCCACGCACCATACCTGTAGGTATGGTACTCTTTGGGGCTAAGCCTTGCATTCCTTTACCTTCTAAAGGTGTAACGGAACATAGTTCTTCCCCAGTACGGCGCCCCGCGCCTACTGGGTATCGGCATTTCCCCGTGCCATGCCAGACTTCTGACTCGGGGTCGAGTGTTGGCTCGTAGCCTGGCG